CATTAATCAGTTATTGAGCGCTTCATACTCATGATCCACACACCTCCTGTTAAGCCCCCTCCCCCCACATACACATTGGGATTAAGTTCTAGTGTGTGAATTTGGGCGGGTATTCAGATTGTAGCAGTCTGTGGAGGTGACTCCATTAACAACATCTGGCCTAGGTAGAGAACTGTGAGTTTACATCTTGATGTCTGCAGAGACAGATAATTACAAAATAGAATTTGCTAAAATGATGGACTAATTATATAAGAGACACTTAATCCAAATGGAGTCTGTTGTCACAGTCTAGTTTTGTGCCTAAGTGAACAGTGGATCCATTCAGTGTGAAGGGGAACCTTAAAAATAGAAACAGGACATGGATGAGAGATTTCCAGGTTGCCATCTATAGAAAGTAGACTAATCAGTTAGGGCTAAGCTGGAGTTTAGATTGTTGAAGCCATAGATGAGACCAACTAGAGCTAATAGAAGGCAAGGAGACAGGATGGAAGTTATTCTTTTATATTGTCTGATGGGAATCTGCTTTGTCTTCATAACTCTGTGGTGCTCCCGCGGCCCACTGACCACCCTTCTCTGGAGACCCCCTCCTGGTTCTCAGGTAAACTTTACCCTGACCTGATCTGAAAGTATAGGACTGTTGGCAGAAGAAGGTTAGCCCTACCGTAAAACTTCAGTACAGACAGTTTGCATCATAAGTCAGTCCCCAACAGGACAGGACAAAGAAATTCCAAAGAAGATCTCACCCTTGAATGTATAAAAACCTAACCCCCTACCCCATCCTTATTCCTGCTCTTTCTCTATCCTGCTCTGTGTTACATGAAGTCCCTCTGCAGCACTATTTAAAGCCTGTTCTGGTCTGTTGAGGTCCCTGCCTTCTTTCTCACCTTTCATCTGCTTGATTTCTCTTAACACTCATGACTTAGTTTCCTAACATTGCTATTATAAAGGTGATATACAGAAGGGTTGCGGTTACATAAGTTGGGTAAAGAGTACATTTCTTTGTGGACAGTGTCACCCCTTCCCTCACCTCCCAGTTTTTCCCTCCTGTCCCCACTCACAAGTTGTATAGTTCATTTTCAACATAGTGTCTAGTAAGTACCACTGCTGCATTTGTTCACCCCTTGTCCCTCCATTTCTGTGTTCCCCCTTACCTTCCCAACCACAGATACTGAGCAAACAATACAAAAAGAAAAAAAAGAAAACTTGTTTGTTTCCCAGAATTCATTTTGATAAATACGATTTTGTATGATGAGAGGCACTGCGCCTCACAGGTGGAGTCTTGAAGCTTGTCCATATTGGACTAACCCTGAGTTGTTGAAATGAAAAACAGAAAGATAAATAGATACAGAAAGAAAATTTGTTGAGAGAAGAAAGCAACTAGTGGAAAGTCAAGCCATGCATGAGTACTGGGTAAAGGCTACGTCTAAGGGGTTCCTCTCACAGACTCAGCTGGGCTGCAAGTGTTTATTTGAATATAAAAGTGATACATTAAGTTAGCCCTCTTTTGCTCAAGGCTAGTACTCTACTACTTGGAGCCACAGTGCTAATTCTGATTTTCTGGTGGTTTATTGGAGATAAGTGTCTCACGGACTTTTTCCTGCCTGGGCTGGCTCGAACCTTGATCCTAAGGTCTCAGCCTCCTGGGTAGGTGGGATTACAGGTGTGAGCCACCAGTGTACAGCAAACTCATTTGGCTAACTCATGTTTCAGCATGTATCCCCCTCCCCCCATCTTTAATGAATATGCTCAGATGACACATGATTTCACAATAGTGCTTGTGAGATAAAGTACATTGGCACAATAGTTTCTGCCTCAGCTGCTCTAGTTTTCTTGTGTTCTGGAAATTTAGCAACATAGAATCGGTGCTTAATGGTTCTTTGCACACTATTCTAACATGTTTAGGAACTTTATTTCTTGATGGTACATACTTGTGGCTAACAGTCATAATCCTAGCTACTCAGGAGGCCAAGAGCAGGAGGATCACAGGTGGAGACCAGCCTGGGCAAAACAGTTTGTGAGACCCTATCTCAACCCCCCTGCCTTCCAAATCTTGAGTAGTTTCCTTGTGTTTAAGGGTGAATCTGAGGATATAAATGAAATAAAAGAATTTGTGGAGAATCACTATACTTTAAAAATAAGAGCTAGCCGGGCATCAGTGGCTACTAATCCTAGCTACTCAGGAGGCTGAGATCTGAGGATCAAGGTTTGAAGCCAGCCCAGGCAGGAAAGTCTGTGAGACTCATCTCTAATTCACCACCAGAAAACCGGAAGTGGTGCTGTGGCTCAAGTGGTAGAGCACTAGCTTTGAGCTGATGAGCTGAGGGATAGCACCCAGGCCCAGAGTTCAAGCCCCAAGACTGACAATAAATAAATAAAATAAATGAATAAACAAGAGCTATATGCCTTTACTTACTCTTTTAAAACACTAGATTATTAAAGGATATACAAAGTATAGAGTGGATCATGATGTGATGAGATCCTGCTGAGGACGGTCTACTTCTTGTTTGGGATTCATGTTATTAGTTTATATATTAAGGGGAATAACTGTCATACCTTCCCTTTCCCTCACAGAAGCCTTTTATGTACATGTTCTCTTTGGCCACTGCTTTCTGTTGTGGCCAATGTTTGATGAGTGGTAGGGCATTTTAAACCTCCTTTCTCCTGGAAAGTCACCTCTTCCACCATGGAGCCAGAGCTGAAAATATCTCTGTTGCATAGCACCATAACACATCCTGCAAAATACCATTAAACATTCCAGCCCTCCACCCAACACTGACATACACAGTGTCACTGCTCCTATTTGTAGAGTTACAGATAGGAAAGATAATGTCTTCAGAGAACTTACTGTGAATGTGGCCTGTGATACTTATGTGAGAGTTACGTGTTCCTCCTCCTCCCAAAAAAGGGTTTAAAAAAAAAAAGATGAAAAAGAATGATTCAGGACTTAACATGCCAGCAAGCCACATAATTAGGTAATATAACAGCTACTTGGGGAGACTCTGCTAGCCAAATTTCTTGTCATGGAAATACATTTGTCTGTGGACTTAAAGCATCTTTGAACTTCGAGAAGGACATGTGCTAAGCTGTTTCTTTTTGGCCAATGGAGACACGGTTTTAGTTTGAGGAGAAAAGGATTTATAAGTTGACAGAGCTGAGGTAGGTGATGTTTGGGAATAGACACACTGATCATAACACATTATATTAAAACATGTTGAAAATAGCATACTTAAGATTTTAGTATAAGCTCAACATTGTATTTTCATGTTCTTTTCCCTTAAGCATTGGTTCTTTATAAACATAAATTTTCCTCTATTTCAAACTTCGGGGAGAAAAAACAAGTTTTTTCTCCACATGAAATTTTAGGCAAAGTAAAAATGATATGCAATGGAGATATTTATGTCTATACTGGGGGAAAGTCAAAAGTAGGATTGGAGTAGCTGACACCTTCCCTCCCTACTTTGGTGCAGGGGTGGGAGGTAGGAGGCACCTGGTACAGTAGAAATGCACTTGGAATTTGGCTTGAAACCATGTAGTGATCTGTAAGGTTCTTCTGCAAATGTTCCCCACCCCCTTCCTCTCTCTCTCTCTCGTCAGACCTGGGGCTTTAACTCAGGGTCTGGGCACTGTTCCTGTGCTTTTGTGCTCTACCACTTGAGCCACAAGCTCCACTTCTGGCTGTGTGTGTGTGTTTGCGCGCGCGTGCGTGCACGCACGGTAATTGGAGATAACAATCTCACAGACATTCCTGCCAGGGCTGGCTTTGGGCAGCCATCCTCAGATCTCAGCCTCCTGAGTAGCTAGGCATGAGCCACCAGCACCTGGCTCTTTTTGTATTTGGTACAAAGTTTTTTGTCTCTTGACTAACTTCTTTTACTTTGTTTATTAAAAGAAATTGTAGTTTCCATCATGTTCCCAAGGCATTTTTCCATCATTTGTCCTGTTAATTTCAGTTGTTCATTGTGGCTTCTCAGAATAGCTGTAGGTTCTCCTTTGGATAATTAACGTTGTTGTAGAAGTGGTGGTTTCTACCCCCAGAAAAAAAAAAATTAAGTTTTTGGAAGTTTCTGGTACTAGAGATTTATCCAGTGAATTCTTCATAGGAAGTGGTCATATCCAAGCTGACAAAACAGCCTTGAGGATCTGCTGAGAGACTTGTCCAAGGTACCCTCATGGGGTCCTGGTCCTTTGCAGCTCTGGGACACTGGTGTGTGAAGAGGAGGGTGGGTATGCTCAGTGCCACCCCCTGGCTCCTGGTGCTGTTTGGCTGGGCTCCTTCCCTGGCTGTCTGCCTTACTCTGAACAGTAGAAAGAGGCACCTTTTAATTGGAGGTACAGCATGGTGATTAAGGACATTTAGGATTAAGATTGAGACAGACCTGAGCTTGTTTTACCCTGCAGCATTTGAGCCTGATTCTCAACCTTCACCTGAAATGGGAGCAGCACTGTCCCTCAGGGGCTTGTTGGAAATCACTCTGTGACATGAATTCTTGCCCTGTGTGTGGTGGCTACTGCTACCTGCACCAGCAGCATCGCACATTTCTCCTCAAATAGTGGTCAGGAGAGCTGAGGCTTTGAAAAGAAAATAACATTTTGAAAAGTAAAATTGGGTGCCAGTGGCTCATGCCTATAATTCTAGCTACTCAGGAGGCTGAGATCTGAGGATCATGGTTCAAAGCCAACCCAGGCAGGAAAGCCTATATGACTCTTTACCACTAATTAACCAAAACCTGGAAGTGGAGCTGTGGCTCAAGTGGTAGAGTGCTAGCCTTGAGCAAAAAAGTTAAAAGGACAGTACCTAGGCCCTGAGTTCAAGTCCCAGTACTGGCACTGAAAAAAATAAGAAAATTACAAGTATCAGTGAGCATCCCAGTTACTGCTGATGAAGAAAGTACATGAATGATGTACAGTGGCTATCTTTAGTGCTGTTTTTCTTCCCAGATTAGGATTGAAAAAGTGTGTTCTCTTGGCCCACTCTCACATCAGTCTGTTCTGCATTGCAGGTCAAGCAGGCAGAGCGCGGCAGAGGCCTCTGTCACTGCCGTCATGCCGTTCCCATTTGGCAAGTCTCACAAATCTCCAGCAGACATCGTGAAGAACCTGAAGGAGAGCATGGCTGTTCTGGAAAAGCAGGACATTTCTGACAAAAAGGCAGAAAAGGTACACATTTAGCTTTAGCAGCAGTTCAATTCTTGGAATTAGGAGCAAATATACGATAAATTACAAGGTAATTGTTTTTTAATCAGTCAGTTGCCACTTGGATTTTAAAAAAATCTAATCATCAAGTGGTATTTGCTGCTCCTTTACTTTGTCCTCATAAACACATTTCTCTGTTGTTCAGTTGTAGTTTGTAAGTCTTAAGTCTGTTTATTTCATCCGTATTTATCTGGTTCTTGAAATTAGTGTCTCTGCCAACTATCATTTTTTGTGTACCCTGGGAATAAAACACAGGGCTTTGTGCATGCTAGAAAAGTGTCTAGCCACAACTTGTCCTTCACTGCTGATTTTCTTCCTACATTCTCCATCCATCTCTGTTCTTTCCTTATATCTAGTCATTGCAGTTCAAAACCTGGCTCTCATCCAGCTGGGCCCACTATCCCCTGAAACACCATTTCCACTACTGTGTATTCTGCTCCTAAAAGGGCTTATGAATAGACCCGAATTCTATTCCTTCTTAAGAACTCTCAGTTTTTCTCATGCACCTTAGCAGTTGCTCTGGCAAACTACACTAAATCACATAATCAAATGCACTGTTCTGAACTCTTCTTTCTGGAGTTTTGTTCTCTCATCCCATGTCCACCAAAGCCTCATTCATCTTTCAAAGCTACCACATACATTTCCTAGATGGCTTCCTAGCATACTTCCTCTCCTCTCCTATCCATGCCCAGTCTAATAAATCTCCGTCATTTAGACACCTCTTTTGGAAATGTCAGAACCACCATACCATCATCTTCATTCTGGCTGTTTTTGTTATACTTTGCCTCCCTTACTAACTGGAGCTCTTTGAGCATTTTGTCATTTCTGGCCTCTCTATACTCTCAAGGTACCTAACTCCCAAGAGCTAGATGACTGCTGTTTATGAATGAGTTGATACTTACGATGATCTTCTATCCCATTTTTAAGAGATTGTTTTCTGTATTGGGATGGAGCTAGGCTTCTTAGCTACATAGTTTACCTTTATTTTTTGGTGGAATGTTGTAATTATGGCAAAAAAAAAAAAAAGGAAAAGGAATATATCATCTGTCTTTTAACAGCTCTGCAGTTTATTTTGCACTGATAGAACCAATACTTTGGCACAAACCAGGACAAAGATCACAAGCTGTATTAGCAGTTAATGAATTCATTGTCATGTGCTGGAAGGAAAGAAGGAGGGAGGAAGGGAGGGAGGGGAGAAAAAGTGAGAGAAAATAGAGAAGGATGGAAAAGAGGAAGGAGAGAAAGAAAAAGATTAAAAGCAGCTATTTCGGGCTGGGAAGGTGGGTCAGTGGTAGAGCTCTTGCCTTGCATGCATGAGGCCCTGGGTTCGATTCCTCAGCACCACATAAGAAGAAAAAAATTTTTTAAAAAGCCGGAAGTGGCGCTGTGGCTCAAGTGGTAGAGTGCTAGCCTTGAGCTGAAGAGCTGAGGGACAGTGCCCAGGCCCAGAGTTCAGGCCCCACAACCGGATCCAAAAAGCAGCTATTTCAAACAAAGATGGAAAATTACATGTTGAGGTATTCATAAATGTTTATAAAATGTAAGCAAGCCCATGGGTAAATGAGAGCTTATTAAATAGGCAGGTAAGTAGATGGACTATTTGTAAATATTCCCTAAATTCCAGCTGTAACTACCTAGAAAAAAAAATTTTTTTTTTAATTGTAAGCTAGAGCTGGGTGCCAGTAGCTCAAGCCTGTAATCCTTAACTTTTTAGAAGAAGGTTGATAGCAGTCCAAGCAGGAAAGTCAATGAGACTGTTATCTCCACTTAACTAACAAAAAAGCTGGAAGTGTAGTGATGGCTCAAATGGTAGGGCACCAGCCTTGAGCAAAAAAGCTCAGGGACATTGCCCAGGCCCTGACTTCAAGTCTTAAGACTGCCAAAGAATGAAATAAAGTCTTTTGACTATAACAACAACAACCAAAAAAGTAAAATATCCAGGAATATTTTCAGAAAGTATGTTGAACCTGTTTGGAAAAAAGAGACCAAAACTATGTAACCTTATTCAGAGGCACAAAAGAATATTTGATTCATGTTTCCAGTTAGTCAACATTCTATTTCTTCTTGAATCAGTAAACTAAAGCAGTTCCATTCAGATCATAGCAAGCCCTTTTTGGAACTTGACAAAAATTTCACTTTATTTTGGTTTAAAACACACTCCAAAATCTGTTTCATTGACCATCTTCACAACCATGGTTTCCAGACTTCTAGTTTTACAGACTAAAAAGACAGCTTTGATTGCTTTCCTACTTCCCAAAGCCATCTACTTAATTAGAAAAAAAATTTAACTCAGCCCGGAAGCTAAGCATTCCTTTTTACCATGATGGTCTTGTATCTGCTTTAGATTGCTGCAGTGTCTTCTCTACTGGTTTTCTTTTTCTCCTTACAACCATTGAAATCCTTTCAAAACTTTTTTCCTTAAAAAACAAAAATGTGCCCAAACCCAGAGTTCAAGACCCACTACTGACAAAATAATAATAATAAAAACAAAAACGTTGAAAGTCCTTGCAGAGGCCTAAAGTACATTCTGCAGCTAAGTCTGTCTAGGCCTGTTTTCATAAAGCTCATGAGAATGATATAAAAAATACATGAGACAAACCATTTTCTTCCCCATTGGACTATCAGCCTGCCAAATACTTGTATTTATTAAAAAATGGAGTAGAAAGCAGAGTTAACATAAAGCACTGTGACCTTCTCTTCTAAACTCTTAATTACTGCTTAATGAAATAGCCATATTGGAACAACTTGTAGGTTGATCTAAGAGCTATTAACTGACACCAGAATATTTTTTCTAAATTCTACAATGGTATCCATATATCATGTTCCTTTTTTCATGTTTCTGCCTATGGAAGGATTAAGGTAAATGACTTTTCTCAAGAGCTCTGTCCTAGTTGGTCATCAAGTAGTGTTTATTCATTATCTTTCCTTATGGATAAGAAGGGTCACAGGGCATTTTTAGTAATTAGATAAATAATTGTGCCTAATGAATCTAATGATTGAATCAATAGAGTTTGGTGATGGGGTTCTGTTAATCTGTGCAAGATATAGTCCTTGGTTCTATTATTACTTTTATTGTGATTTGTTTATCTGGAGAGAGTTAAAAGTTTTAATTAACACCTGATTGGTAAGGAGAAAGCTAGTGTGTAAAAGGAAAGGACAAAAATATGGATGACTGAATCAGACACCAAAGAAGAATCAGTAGCTGGAGGACCTGGGAGCTCAAATTGAAGGGGATATATAAGCTTAACTGTAAATACAATATACATAAAAGTATGACTCTGTACTTGATCTAGAAAAAAATGAGTTGAATGTCAGTGAAGAAAATAGAATCATTGGAGTACTTGATAAAGCCAAAAAAATGCAGGAGAAAAGGGCTAAATAACAGAGGCAACCAAAAGAAAACAAATTATAGGATGCTAGATTCCAGTTTGTATCAGTAACCACATTTAATATAAATGTCCTGAGCACCTTACTTAAAAGGCAGAGATTATGTAATTAGATGAAAGTCCCAACTGTATGCTGCCTGTAAGAAAGGTACTTAACAGGTACATTTGTACATAACAAATGGGTTTAAGTAAGAGAATGAAGAAATATACATTTGACATTTGTCAAAAGGAAGTGAAGTCGCTCTATTAAAAGAGGTTTCAGAACCAAGAATCTTGCCAGATATAAAACCATTTCATGGTAAAGTTAGGGATTAATTAATTGAACATTACAATCTTAAACATTAAAACTTAAAAACAGAACTTCAAAATAAAGCAAAATAGAGTAACCAAAAACCAATGGAGAGCTGAGAATGTGGCTTAGTGGAGGGTGCTTGCCTAGCATGCATGAAGCCCTGGGTTCAATTCCTTAGTACCACATAAACAGAAAAAGTAGGAAGTGGCACTGTGGCTCAGGTGGTAGAGTGCTAGCCTTAGCTCAGCAAGATTTTGTTCTACACCAACCTATACCTAACCTGACCTGATTAGCAGTTGTAGAACACTCCACTTATTTCACAAATAATGGGATACTGCTATATAAAACATTAAGAAACTTAAAGTATTCAGTATCCATAAAGTGAGCATTCACTTTAAGAAAAAAAAAATGAAAGAATCTGGGTGCTAGTGGTTCATACCGTAATCCTATCTATTTGGGAGGCTGAAAGTTGGAAAACACAATCTGAAGCCAGCACAGGCAGAAAAGTTTAAGAAACTCTATTTTTAGTTAACCAGCAAAGAAGCTGGGCTGGGAGGTATAGCTCAAATGGTAGAGCACCAGCCATGAACAAACAAAAATGAGAGGGCAAGGCTCTGATTTCAAGCCCCACTACTGGCAACAAACAAAAAAACTAAAAACAAGAAATCACTATTTACCCAAAAAAATCAATTAATTATAAAACAACAAAAAATTGAAAAGATATATCAAACTGATAAACTCTGGCTTAGAATAGTCAGGAGGAAAAGAGAGAAATTACTAACATAAAAGGAGAAGTGCTATTACTGTAAATACTGAAAGGGTAGTATGAACAATTTCATACCAATAAATTTGATACCTTGAGTTTAAAAGGACAGATTCCTTCAAAGACATCAACTACCCAAAATCACTCAAGAAAAAGTAGATAATTTGAATTTGAGTAACCCTAATGTTAAAGTGATGGATGATTTAGCCACTAACCCATACCATCAAAGACTGAGTCTAGAGGACTTTGCTAGAGATTCCTACCAAATGTTGTCCACTCCTTTTTCTTTTTTTAACTGAAGACAGTCTTACTAAGTAGCCCAGGCTGATATTAAGCTTTCTATATCCCTGGCTGGCCTCAAACTCCTGCCTCAACCTCCCAAGTACTAGGATTATAGATGTGTACCACCACACTAGGCTTCTACAGATGTGCAAATGTCAGGCTTCTACCAAAGGACAAAACAGTATAGTTGCTAGGCAAACTCTTCCAGAAAATGCAAGAGGGAGGAGTAGTTCTTCAGTCT